ATATGTGGGTAAAATATAATTTTATTTAATAAAGATATTATATGATAGTGTGGTTTCAAGTTCACTTAAAGTAAAACATTAAGTTGAACTGATTCCAAAATACATGATATTTATATAAACAATAAATTATAAAAATGTTCATATTATGGAAAGTTATAGAAACTTTTGATTATTAATAAATTATTCTACTAGTTTCTTCATCTTTCTTAACCATAGATTTTTATATATTTTCAACTTCAATTCTATATTAAAGTAATATTCAAAATTGTCTTCAGGGATTTCTTCTCCAAAAACTTCTTTGTATTCTTTTTTAAAGGTTTTTAACTCCTTTATCTTTTGTTTTAATCTCCTAGTTTCTTCATTCTCTAATTTTCTAAGATTGTTTATTCTTTTTGTTTTTTCTTCATTAGATAGATATCCATTTGGTTTTCTTCTTCCAACAGTTTTTCCTGTCAATTTTATTATTATTACTATTATTTATTATTATTTTCTTTGTTTTTCCTTTTTCATCTTTTTCTTCTTGGAATAAACCCATCCCATATGTTTTTAGCTTCAGATATATTACTATTTTGTATATATTTCAATCCGTAATTCCAACTATCCTTAGAGTATTTGGCTTGTTGTGTTATATCTTCTAAATAATGATCATGATCAAATGAATATGGGCCATTATTACTTCTGAAAATATAAATTCCCACTTGTGATTATAGCTTTTTGATATCATTACATCAGGCAATCGAGTAGGGCCTGATTGACCCATTTCTGTTTTTAGTTGCTAGACATTTTCCTTTGAGATTAATAATTAAAAAGTAAATTTTAATATAATAATAAAAAAAAAACATCCTGAGAGAGATAAATAAAGTAACATATAATACACTACCATCAAATTCTACATCAACATTTTCTACATTATAGAGCATAAAAATCAAAGATGCATTTTATGATCTGGTGTGTATATGATCTTTCATTAATGTTAGTTGATTTATTCTGATATAATGGCATATTCCAAGCTCTTTCTAATTTATTAAAAAAGAAATTAATACATTGTAAAATTTTTTACAATCATCTCGAAGATTTAATGGCATGTTTGCATGTCCCTTATTAATATGTGAATGGATAAAATTTTTTTCTACTAAAACAGATTCTTAAATTTACCTTTAGTTATATATATAATCAACAAACTGATAATAAAAGACTCATCCAATTGTTAATAAATAAGTTCATCCATAAAACTGACACTCCATGACCAAATTGTACAACGTTTTTCTATGACGGGGTCAAGAACGTATCACGTTAAATGAGATCCGTGTGTATCGTTCCGCAGTTTTGACATTCACCAACATGCTCCCAATTTTTTTTATGAACTAATCTATTTAACGATAAAATCCCAAATGATCTAATTATTTGCGAATAATATATCTGCTCATCCTGTTTTTATAATTAAATAGCTATATCGTTGAATAATTAAAGAAATACTCATTTCACGTTAGAAAAAATATATATAATAAATTTTAGCATTAAAATAAATTAATAATTTACCTTTAAATTTAGTCTCCCGGTTTACATAATTAATATTAACAAACTATAAATAAACGTTGCTTATTGAAAAATAAAAACAAAACAATACAATTTTGTCACACAAAACTCGAAATATCACATTTCATTATTATTACGATATATATATATAAAAGTATTCTACCGCACGTGCTATAATGTATATTTTTGTTTATTTTATATACAGTATATGAAAGAAAAAATCAAAACTTCAAGTGTTACTACCATACAAGATAAAAATAAATAAAAATGGATATTTTCTCATTTAGTATAAATATAAATGAATATTAATATAGATAATTTAAAAATTTTCCTGTTATTCTACTTGTATTTGATAAAACTAAAAAAAAATTAAAGAAATGATGAAATTGCTAATATTTATAATTTTTTCAATACTTTTTACAAATTTTACTTCAGGTATTACTTATTTTTGGTATCCTCGTGTAATTTTTATATATATAAATTTATATAAAATTTTTTTTTTTTGCAGCTGAAATAAAAATAGTTAGTCCATCATCAAAGTACTATTTTGTATCTGGAGGAAATAATTCAGTAATATGGACGTTTGATAAAACTATTGATCCAAAAGTATTTTCTGCATATTTAAATAATCCCGTAAGTCTTACAAACTTTTTATTTGTCAATGAATTATCAATCAGTTATTATTAATTCAACCGATCAATTAATTTCTTTTAAATAAAATAGGACATTGCAAGCTTGAAAGATTTTGCAATTTTAAGTGCAACTGATATAGCACTTGGGACAGCCGCTGTCTCAATCCCAACTAGCCTAATTAATACTGGTAATTATTTTTTGAAAGATTGAGAAGGGTATTTGGATATTTATTTACTATTACTGATTAGTATTTTTTGCAATTTAGGATTTGTTATAAAATTTACAAATATTTACAATATTAGTGATATATATGCAACCTCTGAACCATTTGAAATAAAACCAGCTGGAACAACTCGTAAGCGATTTTTTTTTGAATGTCATTTTTATTTATTATTATTTTTTTTTGATAATAAATCACGAATTCTTTTTCTTAGCTATTACGTACGTACCACCAGTACCCACTACCACCCCATCATCAACGGGTGCATCTAAATCCTCATTAGAATCTTTATTCAACAATAAACTTTTAATCATTAGTGCTATCAGTATTGTCAGTTATTTCATTAATTTATAAAATGTATTAATACTATTATTATTGTTATATAATCTTCTTATTTATCATTTCTAATGCCAGTTATTAGTAATGATTATTGCTAACAATATAATAAATTCATTATATGCACAATGTGCTTAATTTTCATTTGCAAGTTAACAATCTGATACATGTGATTTTTTAGATTACACAAATAAAATAAAAAACAATTAGAAGTTGGTCATCAATGGTGGCAGCGTTGACTCTGAGAATATCTTATTGGTGAGATTGTAGACTATTTCGAAAAATATAAAGATGTATTTTATAAAGTGTGTTACTTGTTTTAATCAATTACGAATTCATAAATAAGTAAACATAAATCATAAAAATGGCGGTATTGAAGATTTAGAAGTAATGTTAAGTAATGTTTGATGCAAGCTATGATAGATAAAAATTAATTTAAAATTTCTCTCTTTTTTTTTTGAGGAAAAAAGATGTCAGAGGAGAAATCTTGTGAAATAAATTTCACAACGGTTAAATTATTAAAATCAAAACAACAACCTTCTAATCATATAAATCCACCACAAAAATCAAATCCAACAAGATGATGATGATGAGATCACTGATAGTGATGGGTGAAGAAGGGAGAAGGAAATAGAAGATATTATGGAAATCTATGATGATAATAAAGATTGTAATAATGACAGTAGTAATGGTAAACAGAAAGACATCAATAGAACCGATTATCAATGAAAATAGAATTTCAATTGGCGACAAGGAAAAAAAGATAAATTATTCATCCACTTTCCCAAATAAAAATCTACATTCTACCAGAAAAAGGGATTTGAATGCTATCTCATCTGTTAATAGGTATGTGAAGCATAATAAATATGGAATAGATTATTTATTTGTCACGCCCAATTCCCAATGAAAATTATCATGTCTTTCAATTTAGAATTAAAATATAAAGTAAAAGATTTATATAAAAGAGTAATTAACATTAAACATCAACATTAATATTATTTTATTTTTTAATGATTATTGATTATTATTGGAAAAAATTTTATATAGTTATTATATCTAGGAAGAGATTATCCATTAGGTTATAATTACTTTAAACCAAAATTGAAGTCTGCTTTTATTAAGAAAAGTGAATTAACCGATCCATCAAAAATACAAGAAGCAATTAATCACGGAGAATATGTTTTAAAAGGTTTTAATTTCTCTCCATACAAATTGCTTATTAATTGGATTTTATTTTGATTTTGAATTAATTTCTTTTTATAATATTTATTTTTCTCACTAAATAGAAATTGAAACGTTATATTACTTAAAAAAGTATCGATCATTGAAGAAATCTTATTATTCTGATGAAAGATAATTCTAATTAATTATTATTATTATTTATCCAACAATTACTAAGTTATAAATGCCTATTTTTTTGAAATTAATTAACATGACATTGACATTGGTGGTGATGGTTTCTCTCTATCCATTTATAAATGATTCTTCAGTCCTTAATAAGTTTTCTCTACATAAACTTTTGTTTTATTACTACTATTATTGTGTTTTATTTTTCCAAGCAATATATTGTAATTTGGAATCTCTTGAAATATCAGCCAATTTGTCCAAATTTATCACCAAAAAACCCAAAGTTCAAGATAAAGAAATGGGCCCCCTGATTTATCCAATTTGTATGGATTAAAAAGATCCGCAAACTTTCTTTCTGGACCTATAGTTGAGCAACTACAACTACAACCTACTTCCAAAGAATAGATTGCTTTTCAGGGCTATTATGATTATTACGCATATTTACATATAACCCTATAGTTTCATTACTTTTTCTAATAAGATTGGTGCTAGAAACGAATCATCAAGTGACGACTCTGTTTTTTAAAGTATGGTGACTAAACCATCCTTACTAATATAAAAATATCACTATTATTTACATTACTTTCAATGTATACTAATTACGTTTTTGTGCAGTTAATACATTAGGTGTCCAAATTATAACATGAATTCCAATAATAATATTTCTTTAAGACTGACTGAACGAAGGAATATGTCACTGACCTCTGGAATTTTTTGGTGTGATATTATTATTATTAATTATTAATTAGCTAATTAAATTGATAATTTAATAATGATTATTATTTATTGAGGGTATATTTCTTACCAATTGTTACCTCAATTCTATGGTTGCAGTACAATAGCACATCATATATTCAGTTGATTTCATCATCCAATTTGTTATTGGATCTGGCATTAATGTTGTTTTTAAGGACATTTAAATACTTTGGAAGATATTTTACAATCATTTTAGGAGTTGCTAGAAAAGTTTTCTCATTTTTAATGATATTAGTTATAATCATTTTAAGTTTTTCACATTCATTTTACATTTTTATTGAAACCAATTCAGGAAGATTATATATTAGATAGCTCTGATTTCAGAGATAATGATCCAAATAATCCTTGAAATCTTGCTTCTAAATATTTTACATATTTTAAAAGTGACAATTCATATAACCAGAATTCAATTATTGTTCAACAACCTGATGGAAATACAAACATGTTTGCACATTCTCCCACCTCAATGCTGGCAATGTATAATTTCCTCACGGGTAAAATCCTATATTAATATAATTTTAAAATAATATTGATTATACAATTGATTATGTTTAAGGTGATAGTGGAGCATTTGGATCTTAGCAATTACAAGATGATCTATATCTGACAATATTATTCGTTTTATTTTCATATGAATTTATTCATTGGTCTTCTTAGTAATCAAATTGAAAAGTATAATATAAATGAAGCATTTCTGGCTCAAAAGGCAAAAATTATATCAGAGATTAAATTATTTTATTTATTTCCTAATCAATGTCATTGGAGAGAATGGTTTCATGATATGTAGTAACTATGCTTATTTTATCTGATAGATCTTATCATGTACCAATTGAAGATATTTAAAGAAAAATTAGAGAAATTGATAGTGGCAAAGAAGATCCAGAATTCCTTCTGTTCATCTCTGAGAAATTTAGAGAATTAGCAGATATACCCAAACCAGATGAAAACAATATTGATGTTGATATCAAAAAAAAAATAGAAAATCGTAATGAACAGATGTTGATTCAAATGCAAATTTTATTGAATGAGATTAAAAATTTAAAAAACTAATTAGATTTATTTATTTGAAAATGGTTTAATAAATCTATTGGTTAGAACTTAAGATAAAGCTGTGTACTAATAAATTTTGTATTAGTATTATTAGTATGTACTGCTGCAATCCAAAATGGGGGTAAATATAATAAAATTCACTAATTTTCCTAAACAACATAAATATAAAACTATACCCTTATAATATTTTCCATTGTCTCAACCATTCATCAAGCTTATAAAGTAAAAGGTAAAACTAATTGACATGGATTGTTGAAATTTCGTTTTGTAACTATATAGTACAAATTTAGAAACTATCTCCAAAAATTAAAAATTTGATTGGCGTGTGATGTTACACCCGCACTGAGTTTTCCAGCATTGATCAGAATTTCTTACAAATTTAGTAACACGCTTTCAAATTTGGTAATTCTTGTATACAACATTGCAGGTCTTTGTTTTTTTGCATAATATCAAATATCTATGTTTGGCAATCAAGCGTATAAACAATTATTGTGTGCATTAAATGCATTAAATACTGTATTAGTTAGTATGCTTTTGGAAATTTAATATACATATTAATATATATATACATGTAACGAACATTATTCGTTTACAGATTACCAAATTAAGAAAAGCACTTTATCTGATCTGATATGCGAAGAAAGTCACAAGTTTTCAAATCATATAAATAGAATAATTTATTTAAATTTACCATTTCCCAAATTTTTTTAATAAAATGCAAAAAATATTTAATTATTTTAAAAAAAATGATGGAGAAATTCGATATCCTCAAGAATTGGAAAACAAATATAGAGTAACAGCGAAAGTACTTGGCACAGGTTCTTTTGCTGTTGTAAAAGAATGTGTAGAAAAAAAAACTAATGAAAGCTATGCATTGAAAATACTCACAAAGAAAGTATTAAAAGGTTAATATCAATTTCAATGCTAATATTGATTGATATAATTATCATTAGTAGGTTGGGGATAGAATATATTTAATCATTAACAAATCATTTAATAATATTATTATTATCGTCGTATAATAAATTTATTTAGGAAAGGAAAATATTCTTTCTACTGAACTTGATATACTAAAAAAAGTTCATCATCCGTATGTAGTCTCTCTGCATGATTTATACGAATCTAAAGAGGGAGTATTTATTGTAACAGATTTAGCATCTGGTGGAGAATTATTTAGTCAATTATTACTTAAAGGTTCATATACCGAAAAAGATGCAGCAGATTTGGCTAGAAAATTACTTGAAGGTGTTGCATATTTACATGATTTGGGAATTGTCCACAGGGATTTAAAACCTGAAAATTTATTATTTAAAGATACATCAGAAGATGCTGATATTCTGATAACAGACTTTGGTTTATCGAAAATTCTAACAAGTACAGAAGATGTATTGTTTACTGCATGTGGAACACCTGAGTAATTTATCCAAAAAAAATTTTATCTCCAAAAAAAAAAAATTTTTGCAATCTCTTCAATCTCTTCTAACTTATAAGTTCTTAAATTATTATTTTTAATAGTTATGTCGCACCAGAAGTTTTGTTACAAGTTGGACATAATAAACCTGTTGATGTTTGGAGTATAGGTGTGATACTTTATGTAATGTTATGTGGTTATACACCATTCTGGGGCGAAGATCAAGCTGAATTATTTGAATCTATTATGTCGGGCGAATATGATTTTGAAGAAGAATATTGGTCAGAAATATCAGACTCTGGTAAAAAGAAAAATTTCATATGATTAACAATTAAATATTAAAAATTATTTACTTAATAAATTTATAAAAAAAATTTATAGCAATGGATTTAATAGAAAAAATGTTAACACATGACCCTTCTAAGAGAATAACGGCTAAAGAAGCATGCAAACATCCTTGGTTTGAATCAGCCAAAAAAGTTGATATTCTTGAAAAAGTTAAAAGTAATTTTTCAGCCAAGGAAAGGTTCAAAAAAGCAGTTCATATTGTACGAGGAGTTAACAGATTACGTAAATCTGCAAGTTCAACCACGATTGATAATGTTAATAATAATCATGAACTTGTTGACAAAAAAGAAAATATATCAACCATCGCCATAGAACTCCAACAAGAAGAGAACAAACATGTTGAAGAGGGAAGCGAAGTAGAGAAGGAACAAAAAGATGATGATGGCAACAATATTAATAATGATGAAATTAAAAAGGAAAATATTGTAGAAAATGCTCCAAAAGTTCAAAAAATCACAGTAATTTAATATATTATTATTAATTGTATTATTAAATATATTTTGTCTTTTAAATTTATATATTGCCTTTCATTATAAAAGCCCTAATCTACTATTTATTTATATAATTAAAAACCAAAAAATACCAGTTTATCAATTCAGTTCCCTTGCACGTTTTTTCTTCTTGTTTAAGCATTAATCATATAGTTCTTCCGGTCTATACAAGACACATAAATTTTATTAAATACAATCACTACCGCTTTTTTGTATTCCATCTTATTAACAGTTATCAATAATTTTGCTTCTGTTGCAAGCTCAAACTATATGCCTTGTTCCAATCCAAATAATATACACAAACACTATTTAAAGTAACACCATCATTTAATATATTAAACTCAATATCACAATCTTCATGATCTTGAATAATAGTTTTTGGTGCTCTTGCATTATAAAATACTGCACGTGTAGTTATGAAAATTGAAGGATTACTAGAACCTTTTTTTTTGGAGGGAAAGGAATTAAATATAATTGTAAACATATACTTTATAAACTTTTTAAAGAGATTTACCAAGGCATCAATATAAACAATCCAACATTGTTGACCTGGAATAATACATGATTTAAACCACCTTGTGGTCCATCAAAAACTCATTCTATTGTTTGAGTAAATTTATTATTAATATCTTCTGATTCACTTCCTGCAAATTGTTGTGATGCTATTGATGAACTGTTAAACATGAATTAAATAATAAATTTTTTATTCATTCAAAAAGAATTTTTTTTGTTCCAATAATAACAACATCTACTACTACTGTTACTACCCTACCTCCATCTGATTCGATTTCTACCACTTGTTCATAATCGCCATAAACTTCTATTGGACGAATCTCAATTTTCATTCCAACCAAAACATTGGTCCCTTTCCCAAGTCTACAACCAGCACTACTACCACCACTTGCTTGTAATATAACTCCAGTTTCTAAAATAACTTGACGCTAATCTAATTGTTCTCTTCTATCGGTTATCATCAACTCCTTTAATAATAAAATCAATTTTCGACGGTGGAATTAGTGATAATGGCAATAACCATTTAGTCTTTAATTCAAAACTAAAATTCCTTTTGGATATTTGAGATCCCAGCAAAAATCACCAAATAATATATCACTTGTGAAGATTTGACATATGCAAATAAGTTTCCACATTTTTGTGAAAATAATCCCTCTGTGTTAGTAAGTAGTTCTAATAAATGCAATTAAGAAATATAGGATAAAAATTAATAGAATCATGTCTATTCCCAATTAATTTAAATATAAAAGCTAACTTTTCCAATTACTAGATAATGAATAATAAATATCTATTTTCTACCAGTGGATGATGACATTAGCAGCTACAATATCATTAGCTTCAACAAAACAAATAGTTAATATATCAAAATATTAAAAAAATCAATATCCTTCTTCTTGATCTATTTATTTCAGTATTTTTATTTGGCAACGATATGATTGTCATCATCATCACCTAATAATCCGCCATAATTAGATTTCTGATGCAGTGCTATAACATACAGTCTCCGGCGAAACATTATTTTTGCTAAGTTTTTATTAAGTAAATCGATCTTTTTATATTAAATAAAGTTGTTCACAATGAAAAATTCTAC